TGTACACGGATTGTTGACAAGTAATATAGGTAAGAAAAGTGTCGTTGTCATAAAAACTAAAACAAAAATGGATTGATTTTCAAAAACATGATTTTAATTAGGTTAAACTTAAAAATAAGCTTAAAAGTGATTGCAATTATAACGAAATATTTGAAAACAAATTAAGTTGAATTCAAAAAAACTAGACTGGAAATTCAAATTCATCATTAAAGGGACATAGGGTTGCTTCACCCTATTGTACTTCATAAAACCCAAATGGATTCCTCTTAGTTAGCTTAATAACAAAGTTTAAGTGCCTTAAGGTTCAAAATCAATTGATTAAGCTTTCTCAAGTCAAAGCTAATCTTTTAGAAAATCAAATTAACAAGTACAATCTCTCGTTTAATGTTGATTAAAGAAGCTCAATAATTTAGCAATGTTAGGTTAATAGGAATATCTCTACCCTACTAACAAATTAAACCATCCATTTACTTAAAAACTTCAAGTCTAACACATTTCTACCTACGTTCTACAGCCAAATGAACTCTCTCGAGCTCCATTCCACTGAACTAAACATCATAAATGGTGATCAAACACTTAGAAGCAACAGGCACAAGGTAAAATCAACACATAACGTTGTTAATCAGCAAAAAAAGAGAAATAAATCAGGTTTAATCCATACAATAGTTCAAAGCACTCCTAGAATAAAGAGTTTAACTACTCATAATCCAAAATGAACTAAAACTATATAGATACATCTTAGCCATATCATATTCAAAGTGGAAAAGAGAAGGAAGGCAGAAAAACCAAGTGGGAATTCTAAGAATCTTTTCAAGAATCCACTTCAGTGTTCCAAAACTCTTCCAAACCTCCTTCTCCCAAGTCCTAGCAGTATGAAATCGCCTTCCCTTTGGTCCAAAATGCCCAGCCATCGCATTTCTCCTTCCTTTTAACCTTAATAGCGTGTCAGTAATCAAAACACATAGCAGCAGATTTTCTTTATTCGCTGTGGATTGGCCGTGACGAAACCAATAGCAAATGGCCATAAATTCACCCCTCTTGGGCTGAATTTTTCTTTTGTTCACTGCAACATTGACTGCGGCGAACTAGCAGTGAATGCACTTGAAAATAGGAGTTTTCTGCATTGGTCTTTAAAGCTCTTCCATGCTTTGTTCCAACTACTCCACTCTTTAAGGTCTTCTAAACGGCTTCAAAGTGCTGGTATCCATCCTCCTGCTGAAAGGAAAAATGTGCAAGTTCTAAATAACTCAAAATAATCACAATTATCTTAGAAGTATCTCAAAGAGCTAGACTAAACACATTTTCCTCAATAGCTCTACTTGTATACACAATTTAACTCTAAAAACAGAAATTTAAGGAGGAAAATGTGCTAACAACTTATGAATTTATTGGAGTTGATAGCTGTTGATATATTTTCATTTTTACATATTTTTATTCCATATTTACAGTTGATTTTGAGTTTAATTCAATTTATTAGACATTATTATTTAATCATGAAAATTTCGGGATCAAATTGTAAATATTTTTATTTTCTAATGTTCATGAAGTTTAATATTTTTCATTACGTTTTATGTAAGATGAAATGAAATCGTTGATTTCATGATTGATTAAACTAGAAGATGTCAAGCATTCATTTTAGAGAAAATTATGAATTTTTAGTCTAATTTTTCCTCCAATTATCCTTTGACCTCGTTCTATTTTATTTTCTTTTCGAACTTTTCTTTTCCTTTATTTTCTCCTCTTGAAATGATAACAAATGTGCATTTTGTTTAACACGTTTTCGATTTTAGTACTTAGGCCTAAGATTTTATGTGTCACACACTACAAAAAAACAAACTTTAGGCGATGACTTTCGGCGACAACAAAAAAATCGCCGCTGAAAGTTGACTTTCAGCGGCGACACTTTTTTGTCACCACTGAAACTGAACTTTTAGCGATGACTTTTTTTGTCGCCGCTGAAAGTGAACCTTCAGCGGTGACTTTTTTGTCGCTGTCGAAAGTGTTTTCAGCGGCGACATTTAACTTCTAAAAGTCGCCGCTTAAAGTATCTTTCAGCAGCAACCTTTTTAGTCGCCACTGAAAGTTTTCAGCCACGGCTGCTACGGCAACGACTTTTTAGTGACAACTTGTCGCCGCTGAAAGTTAATTTTTTTGTAGTGACATGAATTAGTTAACGTTGCAATATACTTTCATGCTGTTATTTTAGGTCGTGTGGGCACTCGAAAAAGAGATTCAATGACTATGACTTGTTCTTGCACTCCAAAAGAGATCCAAAACTGTTGGCAAAAAACAAAAAACAAAAAACAAAACAAAACAAAAGAGGTCCAAAAGCAAAGAATACATAAAACAGGGGGAAGACAATTGAATGGGCAAATTTGACAATTTTTCAAGGAAATAAATCATTCTTTTTACCTTTTTCTTATATCGCTATATTCTTGTTGGCTCATTTTAATTTGTCTGGGCTCCCTTGGTCCAAAATTTCCTACCCTTGCTTCCCTTTCTTCTCCGTTCTCTCTAACCCTACGCCTCTTTCCTCTCCTTGGACAAGAGGGGTCGCATCTTTTTCTTCTTCTTTCCTCTCACGCCTACGTACATTTCATCTTGTTCATTTTATCTCTTCTCTCTTCTTCATTTTTCTATGGAAGACTAATAAGGAGCTTGGTGGGTGTCATGGATGAAGCTTGGGTTAGAGGATTGGAGCTTGACCATTCACTTGATGGCTAGGGACTTTTGTAAGTTTGTATTTAATTTTAATCTAGGTCTTAGATTGGATTGGATGTGGGTTTGCATTGTAATCATGTACAATTTAATGTTGATTAAACTTATGTTAAGGGTCCTGCATAGGTTAGTTGGTATCTTGAACTTAATTAATGTTACTTTTGTGTGATTTTCTTGGTTGATTAAGTTGGCTTAATTTCCAGAGATTATTTTGTCAAATTATCATTTGATTTAGTGGTCATATTTGCTCATTATAAGAGGCTCATGTTAATTAATTTGGTTTAGGGGTTTCTAACTACGTTAATTACATGTAACTTGTACCTAAGGGTCCTAAGGTCATTAATTACAATTGGATTCGCTCATTCACTTGAATCTCTCGGCCAAATTAACCATGTTTCCATCTGTTTGTTATCCATTTGTCCAAGTTCCTATTTAGTGCTAGTTTGCTTTATTTAAAAGTGTTTTACTCCTCTGGTTCTATTTATAGGGTAGAGAGAGAAGTTTTTTTTTGTCCTATTTATAAGTCACCTCATTAAATTTTCAGTGCAAATGTACTATTTTGTCCTTTATTTATTATAATGTAGATAGTTATTTCTTTTGAAAGGTGTATATATTGAATATGGGTGAAGTTGAAAATTTGTCATATTTTAATAGAAAGTTAATGTATTTTAAGGTTTTTCTTGGTATGCGTAAAATATGCTGGAAGTGCTTTATAAATAGGATTAGAATAGTTTATAGGGTAGAGAGAGAAGGTTTTTTTTTGTCCTATTTATAAGTCACCTCATTAAATTTTCAGCATGAATGTACTATTTTATTCTTTATTTATTATAGTGTAGGTAGTTATTTTTTTAAAAGGTGTATATATTGAAAATGGTTAAAGTTGAAAAATTGTTATATTTTAATAAAGAGTTAATGTATTTTAAGTTTTTTTTTGTCTATGTAAAATACGCTGAAAACCCCTGATAAATAAGACCAAAGAAGTCGTATTTAGCTGTTTTGATTGCATTTTAATTTCCTGCAACACCCAGTTTTAATTGCCTTCTTTCGTTTCAACACGTGGAAAACTATTCTTACATTAATTGCACTTACATTATTACCCTAGAAGATCTTTTGTTTAACATAGCATTTTTAGGTCCTTCGACAGGCTCGGTTAAACTAGACTAAAACCGGTAATAAAAGTTGAACCACACTGCCAATATCCCAACTGTTTCTGCATATATCTATATACACAGATAATTTCAATTAGGTCCCTAATTTTATGGGACGACGTAATGCCGGTTAAATTAATCCTTTAATTTAAGAAGATTTCCTTGAAATATCAAAAGACTCTAATGAAATTAAAAATTAAATTACATTTATTAAAATATTTTTCTTCTTTTTTCTTTAATAAAAACTTTTTCTCCCCAACATGATCATCGGTAGTGCGTTGATTAGAACTATTGCTAGTCGCCATCTCCTCCTCCTCCTTTTCCCTCTTCCTCTCCTGCTTCTCCTTATCCTCCTCCATCTCCTCCTCGTCCTCCTCCATAGAAGGAGAACAAAGAGGAGAAAAAGGCAGAAGAGTTACAGGATGAAGAACATCAGGAGGAGAGAAGAATCCAAACTTGGTTTCTGTCAATTAAATAGCTCTCCTACTCCTCCTCTTCTCCCTTCTTCCTCATGATGATGACATCATCCCCATCGTTTTTTTTTTTTTTTTTGCTTTTCTTGCCAAAACACCATCATCATTGTTATCAACATCTTTTTACAGCTCAATATATAAAATGGTAATGATCATAGACTTATTTTTTAAAAGGAGGGCAACAAATTAATAGATATATAAAATTATGAACGTAAATTTCCAATTTCTAAGCAATCATGATTTCTACGAATGAAATTCCTTTAGTTATATAGCCAGCCAAACATAATTATATTATAATAAAATTATAAAAGGTATATGTGCTTAATTAATTATATTGAAATGCCTAGTGCTATTCCTAAAAATCTGAGGAACTAAAGCAAACAGGGATAATATAACTTTAAAAATTCTTTGAGAGGTTCCATTATCCTTCACCTTGGATATGGCTGGATGTATTCGAATATATATTTTCATTAATGAAAAGTCCTCTTGCAATTATCAATAATTGAATGGAATTGAATTCTTCCTTAAGAAAAAAGTAATTCAAAAGTTATTCTTAAGGATTTATGCTAATTTTCACAGACTCGTTATATTCCATATTAATTGCCTAATTGCGTTCTTCATCCAGCATACCTCCCTCTCTCCTCTCTCCTCTCTCCTCTTCTCTTCCTTGAGAATGTTTCGCATGCTTAGGGGTTCCACTTGGGGCACAGCTCCTTTATTGCGCCCTAGCATGCCTAAAGACCCCACGGTTAAAGCCCAGCTCTACGCATGGTCAAGTGAAGAGTTCTTCAAAGAGTTCGCTCTTGTTTACTCTTCACGTTACGACCCATCACAAACTTGCGTTTCTTATTGTAGATTGAGTCGAAACAAGGTGCTTTTCACCCTCTCTGATTGCTTATGTGAAGGTAATCCAGTAAGAGTAGACATGGAACTCTCAACTCAGAGAGATAATCTCAATGGCCTTGTTATGTTTCGAGACGCTCGAGTTGATGAATCAAAAGGGAGCTTCATAGTACGAACAGCAGTACCAGGAGTGTCACTTTTAAGGTATCAAGATAAGTTTCGACAAAGAACAGGTCAGTTATGGTTGTATAGAATAACAAGAGACGTATGGGAAATTCAATTCAATACTGGCTTTTCTGGGGGCTTTGTTCTTTCATATTTCATTCGCATACTGTGTAATCCTTGGAAAGGCCTTGACGTGGATCTTGGTGGACCACACTGTGAGTTCCATGATTTTATCAGACGACCACTTGGTTTATGTAAGGTCGATCATGTACAAGGTATGCCTCCGCACGATGTTATGAAACAGGTAAGAGTAGTTCATCAGCAGATGATGATCAGTACCGAGGTGAGAGAAGAGGGGCAAGGTGGCAACAACTTTAATGATAATGGCGGGGCTTCTCATATTGCAACAACACAGAACAATACTAATGCTATTCTGAATGCAGGACAGACTCATGGTAATTTCAATGGCGCTAACTTCAGAGACTGTCATATTACTATTGATTCGAAGGCGCTTCAGTTGAAGGGTTTTAATAATTTTCATAGTTCCTAGGTTCTTCATGTGAGTCTCTTCTTTTAATATTGAAAACCAATTAAATAGGAGTTGTAAGTTCCTCACTGTGAATTCTGATACGCTCGATTTGTATGTATTTTTAGGACGGTTTTCTTTCATCTTACTATACGCTGTTAGGATGAGTCTGGAAACAATCGAAGAAGAGATTGATATTGGATTATTATCTTATAACTATCACACAGCACGATGGGAAAAATTTTAAGGTTTTTTACTGATAGAATTTTCTGATGCAAATATTCTTATACCGGATAAAAGTATTGTCAAATTCAATTGAAATAACCCTTTTTATGTGACTTCTTTCCTAAGTTTCCAGATTTCAAACTCTTAACCTTATTTAAGAGAAACCGAGTTTTACTTCTATTCAACCAACCGATTAGTAAAATTTTTAATATTTTAGGATGGGACATCCAAGAAAGCACACATAATTATTTACATCCACACATCAATAAACGTACCACATTAAAAAGTAAACATCAATAGATTGAATAATAGGTTAAGATGCAAATTTATCTCAAAATTTTTACTTAGAAACAATAGGTATTCAGAAGTTTAAAATATTTCCTGCCGTCAAAAAAACAAACGTTGACTATTAAAATAATAACGTTGACCGTTAACATTTTTAACAAAAAAAGTAACATTACTGTAATTTTAAACTTTCACGACAAATTTGCTCCTAAAAATACTTCTAAATACCTAGCACTTCTGAATAAAAACTCTCAGAGTAAACTTGTACCTTAACCCTTGAATATTTTATAAAATTGTAGGAAGAATGAAGAAGGTAAAGGAACTACATGCATAAGTAAACTGTTAACATCTTGCAAATGAAATCTGTATTACCTCTTTTCAAATGCTATACACGTACCTTTTGTTTATTGAAGCATTGGTACATTATGGAATATGCAAAAGAAAGAAAAATTGGACACGTTTTTCCCCCAAATTATTCCAATCTGAAAATGGGATACACACATATATACATACATATACATACACATATATGAACCAGGAGGAGACCATTCCACATGCAGCGAATACTGTGACTTGTTGACAATGTTTTTCTTAAATAAATACTGGAAACCATTCATTCACTACCAATAGGACAAAGACATCGACTGGTCGACAATTCAAAAGTTTCTAAACTTAGCTTTTGAAGGGGAGGGACGCGTATCTTTCTCGTCCACATTGTGAATAGCCGGCCCAGGCTGAGCCACGTCATATCAGCAATGGATCTGAATTTGCAGATGTTTATACACACAGCATATTGCTTCAATATCATAATTTTTTAAGCGAGTTTTCCCTTCCTGAACTTACAAAGATAACCTGTTACGATTCCACCTAAAGAGGGAAATCTCAATTGACAAGAATCAAGTGTTGCTAAAACTAGCTCAGCAGTCCTGATGAAGCATTGAAATGGTACAATGACATATTTTGCATAGATCCCACAAGGTCAGAAATCAACTTCGACGAAACTTGGGCCACACAGCGAGTACTCCTGGTCTCATCTCTTCAAAACGGTATCTGCAGAGTAACATCATTAAATTAAAGTGAGAAGAAAATGAGGAGGTACAAAGAAGCAAGGTGAACTAGATTCCAATGGTACATGGTATGTCCTCTGTAGAAAGAAAGATATCTCACCCATTTTCATTAAGGAAACTTCTCACAGCTGTTGGAAGAGCAGCTTGTCCTCGACTATGATTACCAATACCTGACGAAATGATAGGTAATTAACTGATCCATCCAATGGACATAAAGTTACTAGTCCAGTAATTAAGGAAGTTGACAGTTTACATAAAACAAATCAATCCACTGCCATGGGAATCATAGCACCAACAAAACAAAGTAATAAAAATTACATCATCACTTGTACAGATGGGAAAAAAGATTTATTCATTTTTCTGTTTTTTTCCCCTTCCTTCAGACTACCGATTTTCACTCACTGAGTATCATTTCTATCCTGCTTCCTAAATCCCCGTGGTGGTCTTCTATAGAATTAAATTTTCTAATTTCATTTGTCATGGAATTTATAAGCTGTGACATGCATACTAATGCAACAAAAATACTTTTAGCAGCCCAGAGTTGATGTTTTCTTTAGCCAATAACAAGCACGAGAATCAATAGGACCATTAAGGAAAATCATTCCCCTAGAGACAGTGGCAAGTGATAAGAAGAGATGTATTTTCAGCCAATTCAAGGCTGGCTGACTGGGCAGTGGGCAATTTCGTTGGAAAGGGCAAATAACCCTTCAATAAAACAAGATAACTAAAATACAGAACAACATAAGTTAGACGTAATAAATTATTTCTCCAACACTTGTGCATCTTTCAAGGCTATAAAGGTTGACATGTTGCTTGGTATCAACAGAGGTAAAAAGTAATTCCCAGGGCCTTCTTAGGCTATTAGCTAATACCCAGATAAGCACAAACATATATTCGAAAAGTTGTCCATAGTGAAAAAGGTAAAGATACCTGTTATGACTTCCAAAGCTGATGACCTAAGCCTTACAGGCGCCTGCTTTTTATCTAAATTTCGCTTATCCATGCTATTAACTGAGCCAGAAGTCAAATCTACAACCCCATCCTTATCCTTCACTCCATTTGAACCTTTTAAGAATCCCTGGCTTTCAATTCTATGCAGATATTCTTGCAAGGCTTCAATAGCTTCTGATGCATGAAGACCATGCAAATCCAATCTCCATATATCATTTTCACTATTCCTGATACTAAAAATTTCTTTGGCAGCCTTAGCATTAAGTCTTTGAGCAGTAAGCAAGTTCTCTTGGGCCTTCATTGAGTGCTGCCGAGCAGAAAAATGATCACCTCTCAGAAAAGCATTAGTGGCTCCCTTTGAGTGTCGGGATGCTGACCTGTAAAACAAATATAATATATTACCTTAGGGTCTTGTCGAAGGTTGACCAAACAAAGTACAAGTAAGATATGCTGTATAAACACCACATAGTTAGCCAAATACTGACCCCAGGATACAGAAAATTTTAATACGCAACAGACAATTTTCAAGGACATCTCAGGGGTAAAGGAATGAGCCAACATTCATACCTCATCACTTGCAATGCATTCATTCGATGACTTAAATAAACATCATCCTCTTCCCACTCAGGCTCAACAGGAACAGAGTTCAAGAGACCAGTATTGAATCTCAAGTTTTCATGGCCAGAGAAGCTTTGGACTAGGGAAGTATTTCCACCTTCATGGTCTTCGTCATAGTCTTTGTGATGACCAGAATGAGTAGAACCAAAAGGAGCAAGGTCCGTTGGATTTTCTGAAGCGAGGCCTTTATTTGCCTTATCACATGGAATATCAGCCAAAGCAGCTGATCGAGGAACAATTGATTCATTTTGATCTTCAGAATTGACTGCAGAAGCCATAATATGTTCTTCAAAGTTGACTGAAGAACCATTGCTTCCAAAAATGTTGAGGCCTTAGAAATATCATTACTCACAGTAGCCAACACATCTTCAATCAAGCTATTTTCAGCCCAACAATGTTGCTCTTTGAGCTTCTTTATGGCTAAAGTAGCATCTTTCAGAGGAACAGCACTACGATGATTGCCACCAGAGTCACCGCTTAAAAACATAGTTTTGTTATTCCCATTCTCTTTCGCAGCTGGAAAATTATTAGAAGGAAGGAGGACTGAAGAAAATGACTTGACCAGAGCGTGGTTATTCCTGAGCAACTTCTCACCCTGAGGCAAAGAATTGCGTATGCTTGCTATAGCCGGGAATGGGTCCTGGGCAACTTCAGATTCAAGACCCTGTTTCTGTCTCTGCTTGAAATCAAAAGCAGCCCAACCAGAAGATTGACCCTTAGCCTGCGACATCTTCTTGAGGGAAGATCTGGCTGACATGGTCAGTTTTTAACCGTAAAATAGTAGACAGACAGTCGTTTCAACTGCTTTCGCTTTTAGCACTATAGAACTTATGTAAAAGACACCAGAGCCCAGTATAAGATGACAAAAGACCCGATGTGCAAACTTTCCAAGTAAACTGTGAAAAATCGAAACACACAGTATATAAATAATCATTCTCAAGCAACAGTAGAAATATAAAATAACGATATGGAGTCACACATCAGATGCAACAAGACTTAATTTAAACTGGTTCATTTCATTGGGTATAAAAGAACATAAAGAAGAATGAGAATTTTCTGGTTGTCAGTTTAAAGGAAGCATAGTACAATAGTGCCAATGACATCAAAAATCAAACTTTCTGGTTCTTTCAACTCAATTCAAACAAACACAAATTTTAATTAATATAATTTGACTTCTTGATGCAGAACACAGCAAGAAATCAAATAGAAGTTCAGGAAGTTAAAAGGAAAGAACAGAACTCTAGTTAAAAAAAAAAAAAATCGAATTTTAGTCTCAAGTTTGATAAATCCAAATAGAAAGAAACGCTTAGAAATTTTGAACCTTTAAGATAACAATTAATTTAACCTTTGATATGACCCAAATAACCCTCACTCACAAGTATTTAACTAATTACCGCCCATATCATAAATTCCCATTTTACTTGTAAATACAAACCATAATTATAGTGCTCCTAATATCCATAACTATTCCTCATCATTTTCCACTGTTAGGGAAAACTCAACCCTGAGTTCTGAAGCAAGAAAGTAGCAGAAAGATTCAACTTGAAAAAAAGTACACCTAATGGAAGCTATAGATCCTTTTCTTTTCGGCGTATCAGGGGGGAACAAAATGGAAGCTATAGATGAGTTAACAAGAAATGCAATTTTTGACTCTCAAAAGTTGTTGAAGCATCTTTCATTCCTTCGACTAGCCATAACTATTGGTTCAAGTAGGCATTTTCCGCTCCAATGCGCCTAAAAAAGTTGAATGACTTGAGCTTTTCCCAATAAGTGGGAAATAATCAGAAATGGCTAGATAACCTAATATGACTTGGTAGCTTAAGGAATCTATGATATGGATAATAAATGGTCATATTATATAATTGAAGAATAATAGCAAAATCAATAAATTATTATTATATGACTTTACCATAGTTTATAACAAGAGTATAACAACATAAAAATCAATTATTGCTTTAACACTGGTTAGATTATTGAATTATTACCGACTGGCCGATATTGTTAGTAGGTTTTGTTTTCCCTTTTGTCTCTCTAAACTCTGCCCAGTACCCTTTCTCCTCTCTGGAATCTGTTCCTGCAGAGTATATCACTCCCCTCATCTGATAGGCTTTGTGATGTTAAAAATGATGCTTTATTCATTATAACAGGATCTAGCTACAACAGAGACAGTATATTTTCAGTGCGTTCAAAATCAACTAAATTTCAGTTTAGTAAATATAAAGAAACTGGTTTATAACGACCCCTTCAAGACATGAAGTAGGTAGCATAATCAGAAGCTTTAGATACTCGAAAAAATTTCAATCGATGCTCAGAAACCAAATCTGCTTTTCCTTCTCATTTTCCTCTGCATAGAATTCACCTATGCATCAAGCAAAACTTAATTTTTAAAAGGGAAAGGGAACTGACCGAGGAACACAAAAGGATACCTTCCTGAAAAATCAAACAAGAGAGCAAGCTATAAATTACTTGGGAAGACCAAACCGTAGAAACCGTAACCAAGGAATCAATCGATCAAGGGGTTGAAATATCGATGGAACCAGAAAATCAGATGCTTGTTGCCCGTAGAAATTTGCGATCACACCCACTTCAATCGAATCAATTTTGCAGCTGAAATCCATAAATCAGCTTGTGGAGATCGCACACAAACAAAAAGGATTAAGAATCAGAGCAAAGAGAAGGAAGCAGAATGATCGAGATCAGATATCAGAAATCCCCTTATGCCTGCGGCTGAGGAAGAATCATAAAACGAAACGGAAAGTTCAAGGAGGCTCTATGAATTTACGAATTCGCCCTCAGGCGTTGACTGGGTTTTTCATTTTCAAATTTTTTTTTTTGGGGGATACAATTCTTTTTTTCCTTTTTCTTTTTGAGATTCCCCTGCCTTATTTCTTTAGTTAAATATATCCTCAAGATTCCAGGGAATAGGAACTAACTGCCAAATCTTTTTGTGTCGCTTTTCTCTACTGGGGGGCTAGATTACTTTCTATAGAATTTAGTCATTATTCATGGAACATTTAAGATTATTTTAATAAAAGGAGAACATATAAAATTAAGTGACTACTTTAGCCGTCTTTTTTTTTGTTTTATTTATAAGTTTCAAATTTTAAAAAAGTATAGTTTATTTTATAAACTTCAATTTTGGTTTATCTTAATATTTAATACGATTTTTTAATATTATCTTTAATTATTTTTCTCTTATTACATTTTCTCACATATTCTCTTTATTTTTTTCTCATTTATTATAAGGGTATATTTGAAAACAAAAACAAATTTCTAATCTATTTATTATTTTTAATTAATTTTAACTAATTATTTATTATTCTTAAATTAGTTATTTAAAAATTATAATAAGAACATGACGGAGAATCATGCATGGCCTAAACATCTGTTGGGCCAAAGGATATGGGAACATTGTCTTATTTTCTAGTTGTGTAGAGGCCGTTCTGACAAAAACAAAAAGAAAATAATTGTGATACTTCTTATCCTTTAGAGATACTATATCCGAATAATGTCTTATAACTAAAGTCGGAGGTAATTTTATTGAGGATAATAGGATGTTATTTTATAGGATTGGCAGCTTCTAATTAACTATATTTTCAGAAAAATTTTAGGTTTGGTGATTTTTTTTTTCTTACTAGTCTTCATGTACTATCGAAAAAATTTTTTGTACTCTTCCTGCTCTTAAACAAGAGGAGGAGGTTGATGAAGCAAACTAGTTTTAGATTGTTGTTGTGATGTCTTCCTTTTGTTAAATACATTTTCTATTAAAAAATTAATATACAAGTTCCTACAGTCTCATGTTACAATTGGATTAATGTTACTATGTGAATATAAATAAAATTAAAATAAACCAAATAACAAATTAAGGTTAAAGTGCACAAATATTTTAAAGTACTGAATATGCAAAAAAAAATATTTTAAGATACTGGAGGCACTTAAAAAATTTATTCAGAATATTGGATGTACCAGAAAAAATACTTAAAGTTGTTATATCCACCTTAATCCAACAAATTATATGCAGACGCCAGGAAATAAACCAACCGCGCATATCTAAGGAGGAGGAGGAGACAAATGTCTGATTAAAGAATTCCATGATCAAAGACAACACATTGTCTTGAAGAACAAAAGTTGGAGTGAGTGACAAGGAGGGTGGCTCAAGAAGATGACAGATTGAAGAGCTTGCAGGCGTCGTTCACTTTTGGCGTCATCCGCACACAATCCTTCATCATCCTCGTCATTGTCCTTGGTTTTTCCAGAAGGAGGGGTGATGGGATGAAATAGTCAGATAATAGAATTCCAGAAAAGCAGAACTCAATTCCTTAAGTGGACGATGGAACCGATTTCCAAAATGTTTGGATTAATGACGCCCATTGTCATTGGAGCTCTGATCGGTAGTGTCTATCCAAACACTCCTGGGGGATTGCCACGAAAGGCCCTTATGCCCCGTTTGGTATGATGGAATTGGGGATCATGGAAATAGAATTGAAGGTGGAATTCAAATTTTAGCCTGTTTGGTATGCTAGATTTTAATTCCACATGGAGCCCAATTCCACCAAAAAGCCCAGAATTGGCTTCCACCACTTGACCCATGGAATTCTAAAAAATTCCATGGAATTAAGATTTTTGACATTTCTGCCATTCATATTTTTTCAGTCATCCTTCGACTATAATCCCAACAGCAACCTTGACCTCCATTATCACCTGACAGATTGGAAAACAAGGGTGCCATGATTGTGGATATGAGTCTTCAATCTTCATATTCGCCGGTAATGGTGCAAGCGAACGACGGCACCACCTCCACCATTCTCCATTGTGCGTCAGCATTGAAGTCACAGAAATCTCAAAACAAAGCTTCATTGATCTTTTGAAGCTGAATTCACTGTTGACTCACCGATTGTCGGCGGCAAACCACTTTTTTCTTCTAAATCAGGCTTCCATCGATCCTTATTGTCCTTATTGTGCCCTTTTTTCTCTTCCTCCAAATACCTGGATAGATTCATTAGGGGCTTCTACATCTGCCTTTCATTTTTCTAGCGGAGATAGATGGCAATTTCAGGCTTCTTTGTAGACACGATTCTTTTTTGGGTTCCTTCCTATGCTTTGATATTTTTAGCCCTCATTCTCCATAAAATCTAGCTTAGTGGATGATTTTTGTGAACAAGACGAAGGATTAGGATTTTTTTAAAAATTTAATTTAAGAGGGTATTTTGGTCTTTCTATATAAAAATTAGATCTCATTTCCACACCATACCAAACATACTTTTAAACCTCATTTCTATTTCCATATCTATCTCCATATCCATTTCTATTTCCATTTTCATTTCCATCGAAATCAATTCCAATGTACCAAACAGGCCCTTAGAATAGAGCCTTGAAACCTGACAGAGATGATCAGGGACCTTTTTGGAGTAGTTAAATCTAGGACACCACTCAAAAGTCTGCTGAGAACATGCCTCATTTGTAACCTAGCAATAGATCTTGATATTGAGCTTTGCCGATTATTCCAACTCTGAAAAGACCCTTCAGATTTAAACTTTTTTAATTAATTATTTTTGAATAAAAAATTATTTTTAAAAATGATAGTTAATATATTTTTTTATTTTAAATTCTACATCTGGTAAAATAATTACTTAAAAAATAAAAAAATAAAATCTTAATGATTCATATTTTATGAGGTTTGAGCACCCATTACTATCACTCTTAATAAGCACTCAAAGCTCATTCACTTTAAACTAATGAAATTTGATCCGAACAGTTCAAACTTAATATTGATAATTAATTATTTTTAAATAAAAAATAATAGTTAAGAAATTATCTTTTATTTTAAATTCTAAATTTATTAACATAATTATTTTTAAAAAATAAAAAAACATTGAATCTGGACCAAGGAAATCAGCTTTTTGGGGCACCCAAATCAATCCGCATTGGATAATGGACCATATTAATTGTAGTGCATGGCTCAACTATCGCATTAATGATAGTCGCACATCCCAGATTGCACGTGAGGCTCATTTGTCTAAAACTCCCTCTTCCATAGAAGATGAATATTTTGGGGCCAAAACTAATTTCAACAAAGATTTATCAGTTGCCCACAAAGTTTTATTAATTAAAATCCTCTATTTTCCGAAGCCCCACGCCACCCAAACTCCTTGAATAACAAATTTTGTCCCCCGCTAGGAGATACATCCTCCTGTGACAATCACCAAGACCGTAAAAGAAATCTGCAATTTTCATATCAATTTTGTGCGCAACAGACACTAGAAGCTTATAAAAGTCAGAGGGTGCACCAATATAACAATAATAAAGTTTTATCTCACTAAGTAGGGTTGATTACATAAATCGCATGATACTTACTATTGGGATTTATTAAAGACCAAATCTTTAAATAGATTATTAATCGAAGAATTGTGCTCAGTAATCATCAAAGAAGTAATAGACTTAATTAATTAAAGTAAATCTCCCAGCTTGTGAAGGCAAGTTAGCTTGCCACTGGAAATGTATTCTAAGAATACACCACCTGCTTCTGCAATGATTTTAATTTGACATCCCCACTACAAGAAAACATACTTTTTACCTTCCCTATTCATGTCTATTTATGAAAATGGAAGAGAAAAAAGTGAGTATTCTTGTCTTCAGTAAACGAGAAATTCTCGTCTGTTTTATTAAAACAGAGAGAAGTTGGCTCCTTCCTGTTTGTTACTAATAAAACAGGCGGCAGTTGCGTCTCCGCCGATGCTGTAGCGTTTCTATCTCAACGAGGAAGAGCTAGCCGTCGTTCTCCCTCTCCAGTTCGGCGACTCCAATGAACAAAGAAGGTCATCGTTCTCCCTCTGCAGCTCGGCGATCTGCCTCTCCCTTCTTTGATAGCACTGCGTACTGAATAAGGTAAGTTGACAAGCAATCTTCCTCCTTTTGGTCATTCTACTTGTGCTACAACAGAATGTGGGTTTGTGGTTGCTGCTGAATCTTGAATTGTATTTACAAAGTTTTAAACTTGTATATGTTGATTGGGTAATAGATTCGCAGATGGAGAAGTTTGTTAAACTTGTTTGAAAATTCATGCACACAAGGCGTTTGTCAAAATGTCTAAGAAAGAGTTTTCATATATTAGTATGGCATTACAATGATAGTATAATTATTATGATCTTGAAAGGTTTATTTAATAGCAAATTGATATTTTTTTGGATGTATTATCTCAAAAAGAAAGAAGCTTTAGCAAAAAAAATTTCCAAAATGAGTAAACTTGAAAATTGTGGTTGGGATTGTAAAGTTAAAAAAGCAAGTTTTTTTATATTTTGGATTGCTTTAAATTGTTGGATTAAATAATTGACCTTAATCAATTGGACAAAATTATTATCATTAGTCTTGAATTTGCATTATTTTTGTTTGAATTAAGTTGAACTAGATTAAAGAGCTAAAATTAGTGTTAAATTGAATTGGTTTGAATTGTTTGAGTTGGATTTGCTAATTGCTTTATTTTTATTAGGATTAAGTTGAATTAGATTAAATTGATGAATTTAATCATAAATTCAAAATTTCCTGTTGAATTTAGTTTTGAATTGGTTTGATTTTGTTAGAATTTAACTGAATTGTATTAAATTGTCATCATTAGTTTTGAATTGTTTGACTGTTTTTTTTTCCCATAAATTGAATTGAATTAATCTTAAATCATTCAAAATACCTTGTTGAATTTAGTTTTGAATTGGTTT